GTTTCATCAAAATCGATCTGTTTTGAGGCCAGCCATTGTTGTATGTTTGCTTTTTTAGTTGCCATTGTGGGAATTTTTTCTATTTTTCTAGAATGGTACAAGGCATTATCCAGTACAATAACAGCGTTATTCTCCAGCTTTAGTAACATTTTGGAGAACCAATTTTCAAAGGAATTGCCGTCCATCTCCTCATGATAGTCCCCTGTCTTTTTTGATTCAAAGGCCCACAGTGCTTCGGGAACAAAGCCGTCTTCACTACCTACGTGACAAATGATCAGCCGTTTGCCTTTTCCTGGAAATAAATTATTCCTTACACTATGGATTGATTAAATTTGAAGGAATGAGGCAATTGAGTTCATTTAGCTGAATTTAAGAGTCACGGAATGCTGATCAAAAACTGAAAAACGTAGAAAATTGAAGTTTGCAACTTCTCAAAACCCATTCAAAGCAAATTGACTGCACCCAAAAATGATAATAAATTTCAAAATAACGCTTAAAAGAGGGTCGAAGTTTTTTTCCTAATGACTACACTGCGAATGCACCATTTTTGGAGAATATCACACATTATCTGCTATCACAGCATATTATTTGCCCGAATTTATCAAAATTAAATTGCCGGATAGATGAAGGAGCTTACCTGCAGGATTTTTCAATCCAGCCGAAAGACCGTCTAGAAAAGCCTGCCTTGATGATGTTACTGATTTGTCGACCCAAACTTTCGCTTGAGTATGTCCAGCATTCACCCACGTTTCGTCCAAATAGTAAATTTTTCTTTTTTCATCGCGAAACTTCCGAATCTTCCTAAGGTATTCCCTTCTCCACACAACAATTTCTTCTTTCTCTATTAACATACTGTTTCTTCCCCGTTTCAAGAATCAAAAATTAAGTTCCTTCAAAAGTTTTCGGAATGTGGTTCTTTTAAATGATGGAAGATCCTCATCAGCATTAACTAATCTTAATATCTTATCTACTGTAGGTATCTCATTTCGGAAGAAAAAATTATGCACTTTCCTCCTGATGGCAGTTCTGTCAAAGTCATCTACTCCGTCCGTTATCCTTTTTCTTGCAGGATACGGTTTTGGCTCAGAAAGTGAGTGAGTGCTCCTATATTCCTTAATGATCCTATAAACACTGGACCGACATACTCCAGAAATATGTGCTACCTTACATATAACTTCGTCCACGACCAAATCGGGTTTTTCTTGAATTTGGTTTTTGTATATATTTAATATTATTTGTTTTTCATTTGCACTTAAATGTAGCTTCTTAGCCCTTTTTTTGGGTGGGGTTGCGCTGATGTCAACCACTTCGTCGGCTGTATCTGTGTCAGGCATCGTATCTTAGGCAATATATAAACAAAACGTTCCACTCGCGAAAAACGAGTATACGCTACTGAATGCGTGATGCGTATGCAATGCAATCCTGTGCGTGAATTAACTGTTAGATGCCTGTCGTGTCATCTACAATCACGTTTACAAGTCCAAACCTGTGCAGATTCGTAGAGCGCCGACGACTGCTAGTGACCTTGAATTTCTCTGTAGATCGATGTTACTCCAGTCAATTTAGGTTCAAAGTGGATGTTTTCTAAACCAATTTGTTGTTCCTACATCAAAAATATATCGATGATGTTTTGTACTGGGAGCTCATGAAAGATCAAGGTAACTTATTTTAACAGTCATCCTTTTTCTAGTCTCAAGATGACACGAAAAAGGGTCTGTGGATTCACTAGAAATACACTGCCGAGGATGTTTAGACCTAAAGTGACTGGAGTATATCCGTGGATGCTTTCGAGGGATCTGTTCACGTGCTGATCACTGTTTACGTTTAATGTCTTTCTTCAGCGCCCAGAGTATAGTTGGGTAGTCGTCCATAACGTTGCTGATTTTTGTTGGGTGAAAAGCTATACTAATAAGTGACATATAAATCCGAACATCCAGTTTAAATGGTTTTATTTTAATAAAAGTTGGTGAATGTATTTATCTTACTGTAAATAACAAGTGCAAAAATTTTCAGCCTTAACAGTTGGACATTCCGGTTTTTATACTGCTTTTTTTTAATTCACTAACGCTCTAAAAATGAATATTTCAGCCGCAGTAAAGAATCAACGTTGGCGGATTTTGGTTCTTGACACCCTTTACGATCGGTTACGATGCCTAGAGTACGGAGCCCTGTACGATTTCGTCAACTTAGTGAGTTTGATAGGGGCCGTATAGTGGGACTTCGGAAAGCTGGACTTTTTTTTCGGGCAATTGCAGTTAGAGTGCAAAGAAGTGTAGACACTATGGTCAGGTGTTGTCAGGCATGGCTTCGAGAAGGCCGTACGCAAAGAGCAAGGGGCACTGGACGCCGTCGTAGAACAACAGACCGTGAAGATCGCCGCCTAAGATTATTGGCCTTAAGGGACCGTTTCTCCACTACCAGGTCCATTGCAAATCAATGGTTTGCAGAACACGGAAGTCCTATTGTCATGCGAAGTGTTTACCGACGAATGAGAAGTTTTGGCTTGTTTTCATACCGGCCATACTGGGTCCTCCCTTTAACTCGAGAACACCGACGTAATCGCCTTGAGTGGTGCAGACAACGGTCACTCTGGGATCAGGAATGGAACAGTATTGTCTTTAGTGACGAGTCTCGATTTTGTTTAGGCATGCACGATGGTCGTGCCAGGGTTAGAAGGCGACGTGGTGAAAGGAGGAATCCACATTTTTTTGTTGAAAGACATGTTCATCACACTGTTGGAGTTATGGTTTGGGGTGCTATAGCTTATGGTTCCAGGTCACCTTTAATCTTTATCAGAGGTAACATGAACGCGCAGCGTTATATCCACGAAGTTCTAGAACCCCATCTTTTACCCTATCTTGACACCCTGGCAGATCCAACTTTCCAACAAGATAATGCCCGACCACTTGTTGCAAGAGTCACAATAGACTTATTTCAACATAATGATGTCACATTGTTACCATGGCCACCAAGGTCTCCCGACTTATCCCCAATTGAGCACGTGTGGGATATGATGGGTAGGAGATTGCTCAATTTGCAACGTCCTTCTCCGACTCTAGAAGCACTTCGAGAGGAGTTGGTGGTTGCCTGGAATGAGATACCACAGGAGGACATTGGCCACCTGATCAGAAGCATGCCTAGGCGCGTTGGAGAATGCGTAGCACATCAGGGTGCATCCACACATTATTAAAGGTCAAAGGGCTTTAAAGCACTGCAATCATTTTGAAATTTTTATCATTTACTTATTATGCTTCATTAAGTACTTATACACAATTTTATTAAAATAAAACCATTTAAATTGGGTGTTCGGATTTATATGTCACTTAGTATATTTTAACATAATCACCAATATAAGGTATTTGGGCGTTCAGCGCGTCATTATGTAATGCTCTCCAGCGATGCATCCTTCCCGCCAAAGCAAATGAGCCTGGTTTGTAAGATTATGATTATTCGTTCTAACGAATATGAGAAAATAAGAATATTGTTGTGGTCAGGACTCTCGAGTTTTTCAAAATAAAAGATAAAATGATTAGTGTGGCTAAAATTCATCGAATTCACCAAGTTTGATGATTTATTATAATTTCTATTACGTTTTTGTATTAATTCACTACCAGAAGGTCTTGTAGATGTAAAGAAGTATATAATAAACTTTCAATACTCACGTACATGATGGGCGAATAAATACCGATCTTTCCACCTGTTTTATTTAATATACTCAGTAACACTAGAAGTGTTACACCCAGAAAAAATAAATTTCTTAATTTTTTTGCAAAATAATGACTATATTTAAAGCATGATGTGGCAACAATGTCAGTGTTTTATCTTGGTTTTGTCTGCTTCAAAGTATAATGAAAAAAATGGAGGCGCGCCGCAAGATTATATCAGGAGCGGTTTCCAGATCGTCAAGCTCCATCACACGGGCGTTATCCTTGGATCGTAGAATATTTGAAGAATGAACATAACGATCCTGTTAATGGTAATGGCTTTATAGTAAGCGAAGAAGTTGTAATAAAAGTCCTAGCGTACGTAGAATATGATCGTATTGCTTCTACTCGCGAAATAGGTGGGCAGTCCCAAATTTCCCACGAAAGTGCAAGAAAAATTCTAAAGAAACATGGCTTTGAATCGTTTAAGTACCAAAATCATCACCATCTGTTTGAAAATGATTTTCCAAGACTGCTTAATTATTGCAACTGGTTTTTGAAAAATCTGAACATAGATGCTGTCTTCCATCACCATAACATTTTTTCAGATGAATCCAGGTTTACTAATCTAGGGATGTTTAATGCTCGGTATTGGGCTAAGGAGAACCAAAGGCTAGTGTAGGAGGTACCTTCCAGGAACGTTTTGGAGTGAATGTTTGGTTAGGCGTAGCAGGGCTTAATATCATTAGTCCTTTATTTTTCTATCAATCGTTAAATGATGATATGTACTTGGAATTTTTACAAAACCAAATAGAACATTTAGGGTAAACCGAGGAAAGATGGCCATATTTTTTAATCGTCTGTAATACTTTTAATAATTGGGTTTTATCAAAAAATATAATATTTTAGGGTAGGGCATGGTAATTATTATTTGTTGCTCTGTGCAAATTTATTATAAATATGGTTTTTCATTTTGTTGATAAATATCGGTTTTTTTTATATGTGGGCCATCTCTCCTATAGTGTTTAGTAGAGATGGCCATATCATAGAAGGTAAAATGGCCATATAAAATTCAAAGAAAATAATGAGTTTTATGAGAATACTCGTGAAATACCTATGAGACTTTATTATTACATATAACAGAAAAAAAACTAAAAACTCAATAGCCAATCCTTTTGCCAAAAAAGTAACTTACATTAAAAAACTAACTAACTTAAATTTTTTTCTTTCATAATAACGACAGGAGGAAGAAAAGTACCCTCGGCGTTACAGCAGGCAACAACTGTTACAGTCTCGGCCTTTTCTGCTCAAGCAACTGACGAAACTACTGTTGATCCTTATACTGCCAAAACTTACCGGTCTTGTATTTAGTTGCAATCCACCCTCGTCCATATTAAAAATACTTTTCGGGTTTATCACGATATTGTTTTCTTCCAGAACACTTGGCAGTACTTTAAAGTTATCAACTACTACCTTTCTAGACATTGCTGTGCACCTCGCCAACGACAAACTTTCTGCTTTTCTAACTGATATTTGTGGATCTCTGGTGAGAAATGAATGCAGCCAAACTTAACCAGCTTTCTGAAGCCGATTATTAAATTTATGTTTTAAGCCCAGCTGAACAGCAAATTTATAAGCTATGGTTCGCAAATCATCTCTAGTAAGTGGAGATCCACTTATTTCATTTCTTTAATATGCCGAACCTGTCTGTTTTCATGTGCAGCTCCGAAAGTAGTATCTGGACCCAATTTTTTCTTATGGTCTTCATTCTTTCGCATTTCCAATGTCTTTCTCGGAATACCGTAAGTTCTTCCAGTCTGATGTACAGATAATCCCTCATCTTTAACAGTACTCATTGCAGATTTCAGTTGTTCCTCGGTCCATTTAGCCCTCTCCAATGATTTTATTTTATAAATATTTGGCATCTAAAATAAATACAAATGATCTACGATGGCCATCATACATAGGAAATAAGTGGGCCATCTCTCCTTTTCTTCGAGGAAAGATGGCCATAGCATGATTTAGATTTTATATACGTTAATTCGCGTAAAACGCTTAGGCAACATAAAACACACCACACATGGTAAAACAAACACCAGACGGATTGTTAAAAACTAATAAAATTTTATGACATTTGGCTAGTGGAAAATTGTATTCAAAAACTATTGAACCCATTTTAAAATAACTTACCTTTAAACTTAGTTAATTGACTCAGAGTTTGTAGTATGGCACGATCACACAACAGTACATTACGCCTTATTGAAAAAAACGTCCTCTAATAACTATTTAGGAAAATATCGTGTTGGGCCATCTCTCCTCTATGGCCATATAACCTCGATTGACCCTATTATACCAGCAGGATGGCTCCCCTGCCCACAACTCCAGGGTTGTAACTAATTACTTAAATGAACGATTCGGTGGAAATTGGCTAGGAACCACCGGACCAATCCGTTGGCCTGCAAGGTCGCCAGATTCAACCCCTCTAGATTTTTCAATTTGAAGCTATTTAAAATAAAAAGTTTATGCCACTCCTCCACCGTCTCTAGAAGTACTGTAAAATAGAATTAGAACAGCCATTGAAAATATATCTCAAGAACATTTACGAAAATTACTTATAGAAAACATCAAGAGAGTCGGGTTATGTCAACAACTCGGCAGCCAACGAATAGAACCCTTAATTGAATGATTTTTCCTAATTTTTAATTAGTAATTTATCTAGTTATTGGTTATTTATTACTTAGTTTTCACTATGCTAATTTCAGTTATTGTTCTTGTTATCGTTAGAAATAAAAAAAATACAAAAGAAGCATACTGTTCAGCATTTTTGTTTCGGAAATAAGACTCTCTCATTGTTAGCATTTAGAAAGATTTGTTTCCTATTCAAAATTCCGAGAAAGTTTTAAATACATTTTGACATTTAGGTAAAAACAAGAATGGTCCCAAATTTATGACTTTTTTTCTATCGACCAGCTCATTGTAGAAGCGGCAAGAGAATCCATTTTGCATCTTAAATTAGTGGGTAGTTTGGCAAAAAATCCATAGATACTGTCAACGCCGCCACAATATATTTGCCATTTATGCCGCCACTTTGAAAAAGAATGACAACTTGTGATACAAAGTCCTATTTAAAATTCTTGCTTCATAGTCACTTCCGGCCAGACCGGAAGCAATATTCAGTTGTTTTTTAATGGATAATCTACGTAAGTTTTTATAGGTCATATCGTCATACAAGATTTCAAGGTTCTATTTTGAACAGCAATTATAGTGCCTTGTTAAACGATTTCGTTGACATCCGGTTATCTTCCGATTCAGGTTTTGCAGTGAGCGCCCAAAATCAAAATGAAACTACCTAGTAGCAATGTCATATACTTCTTTCGAATAAATCAAAATAGAGGTGTATCCTGTATATTTGTTTCCGGTCCACTTCTGGGTTTAGTTGTCTAACAATTTCTTGACAGCGTTCTGTTCATAATGTTATTTCTATCCAACAAAAAGTTGCACAACTGGAAAATCGCTCAAAAAGGTATGTATTTTTTAAATCAGGAGATATGTAATTATTTCCTTCAATTTTGGCGACAGTGACTGTTTTTGGTGGTGGCTCACTAATGATACGTTCAAGTTGCTTTCATGATCGTACTGAAGCATTTGTTGCCACTTTGAAAGACGCGTTCGAGCGAAAATCTCATATAACCGTATCTCTATGTAATAAAGTAATAGAAACAGTTGTAGGGAATTAAATTCTTAATCATTTTGCTTCTAGTCACGGTATTTCCGCTTATAATGGCTGATCTAACAACCTAAGCGTATAAATACTGCTGTTCTTCATTGCAGAGAGCAGATTTTTCAAGGCCGTTTACGTTTTTTTCGACACCTAGGTGGTTCTTCAAGTATAAGGAGCGAAAGTCAAAAGTGTGTACCAAAAAAGTGTCATCATACATCATGTTTATGTTCACGTCATTATCAACGATCAAGAGTAACATTGTAACCCTTTATCTGGTAATGATGACCTCAAGTAACATGTGTGTTTGTAGCAGCTTGTATGTGGAAGAAATTCCATTGTTATCTCTTTTCTGGTTGTAACTGGTGTTAATGCTTCATAACAACTTTCCAACGTATTTAGACTTTTATAAAGTATTATTTTCTCGTCTATATGATTATATAAATACACATGTCACCCATAATCCTGAAGCAGGATCTGCATCGTTCTGAACGTTGCTACTTACGACTATTTGATTTCATATTGGATCTATGTGTGATAAATGATTCGTTGGTGCATCGTGAGGGACTGCTGACAATATTATGTCTCTGAAAGCGTTTCGGATAAATATTGCAAATGGCCCGAAAGCAGCAAGGGCGACGTTCACTAGATGAAGCCACACCACTCAGGAAGAAGGGAACTGTACCTGTTCCTGTTCCGGATGTGCTTCATGATAGTCTTGACCAGTAGCCCAACCATGGACCCAAAGGACGATGCAAATATTGCCCTAGTGGTTAATCAGTAATAAAGTGCATTAAATGCACTTTAATTCTCTGTTTTGTACCAGACAGAAACTGTTCATACAAAACAATGGACTTTAATATTATGTTCTGGTATCGGAAATGTTGCGTATGAGCAACATGCGCTCGTTAGCATAAATTATTGTTATCAATTTGCAATGCTGGCAGACAAAGGGTTAAATCACCTTCTTATTGCGACGCGTAAGTATGGAAAATGTAGTTAATGTTTTCCAATATCTTATATATTCATCATGAAAATTCAAGTCACTTCCATCAGTCTGTATATTGGCCATTTTGTCATTGCGTAGCCTCAGCAACCGTTGCAGCTATTTTAATGGAAAGCGAGTGATGCCATGAATCAGCATTACCTACTACATCTCCGTTACCATTAAAATCGGTACAATGGTTTCTCAAATAACTCGGTGACATGTATACAGACCGATAGGTGTGAGTGACTTGATCTTCATGATAAAAACATACTTCCACATTCTACTAAAAAACTGATTCACTTTAAAAAGGTACTATAGACCATAGACAATGATTATGAACTTATTTCCGTGCTAAATAATGCTGTATGCGGACAACGTACGTAGCATGTGGAGTACGTCATATCATGTGTATGGCACAACGGCGCTACCAGCAAACGGAATCGCACAGCAACCCTTTGTTGCGTGAAGCAGTGGATTACACATGCGACTCGCACTGTGAACAAAATTCAGTTCAGGACAAGTCAAAAGTTTACGAGTAGTAGTAGTACGCAGAGTATGTCACCCGATTTTTTTGATACGGATTTTCAAATTTCTCTCCTTACACTTCAAGACCATCGGGATAGGGAAAAACTTGAAAGACCCTTTTTGTGCAAAAGCCACAGACAGAATGTTAGTCTGCGAGGATAGTCTTCTGGTAGCCAGGCCTCTGCACTCTTTGTACATGGTAGGGATAAAGCAAATTTTCCCGTAGGATTTTATGGACTATGGTATGCAATAGTCCTACGCGGCGGCCTAATTCCCGAGTGTTGATATCTGCATTGATTTCCGCGATATTTAAAATTTGTTCCTCCTGCTCTACAATAACGAGTGCGAATATTCTTGGGCTGTACACTTCCTGTATCTCGAAGACTTTAGTACACTGGCACAAATGTCCTTCTTTCTGGGGTACCCGTTGGCGAAATCTGTCACGATAAATTTGATCAGCAAGATTTGAATTCTGACGAGCTTTATCGTAAACTAACAACATTTCGGGGAACTCTTGATTTGTAAACAAACACGACGACGTACGCGAACAAAAACAAAACATGCCCCATGCCCGATAACTAACCACTGTTACCGTTTGCGATCGATTGCCGGTTCGATAAGAGATGACGACGCGCTGTTGTCATGTGAGTTTTAAATATTTAATTTAATGAAACTTACTTACTGACTACAAATTTTGACTTATCTTAGAAAAACTTAATGCCATTTATTTGTTAATTACCCAATTTAAAAACGTTTTAGATTAGGTTATAAAAATTAGTAAGATGGTGGTGATTGTAGTCGATATAAAGCATTTGAAGTTGTAAACTAGAAAGCCATTTAGGCAAAAATCTATTGACTTTTGGACTATGGGTCATATGAACTTTTTTACTTGTTTTGACCTTCCTATTACCCATTTCAATAGTGACTACCATAACGTTTATACCCTTGATTGGAAACGTATCGTTACCGGACATTGTCCTTTAAACGAATATTCATCAAAAAATACCGTCTCGGTTATTCCTTTGGTAAATTGCTGAATTGCGTGTACAAACCTATCCGCCTTTTTCATCGCATCTGAAACGCAAAAAACATGGGAAACGTCTGGATGATTATTTGCTTCGTGCCGGGATCTTCCTAATCTTTCTCGAAAATCGTAGAGACATTGCATCGGAATTTTTTAATTACGTAGCAAAAGCGGATCGCTTTCCCAGCAACTCAAATCGAAAGATATCACCCTACGGATACGATCCGTTTTAATTATGAGAAATGGTCCTTCGAAAGAGCGAAATTAATCTATTTATCTCAATTAGTGATTCTGCACGATGCTTTGGAGCTTAAGTATAAGCGTAGTCAGACTAGTGGTGAGTGATCCCTTGATCTGAACCAACACTGGGAACCTCAACAAGAAACCATAATCGTCTAACAAGATGCTTTTTTTATGTTACATGAGATGTACAATCATGACAAACCATGTCACTCACTTTGTTACAGGGGGTGTAAGTTATATACTACACTAATGGATATGACAGGTCCATTTGCGCACGTTACCTATAGGTTATGATTTGTTCATTCTATAGCTGCTACTCCTCGTCCTCAGATCACGCAGCTTAACTTTATTTCTGTAAATACTTGTGAAAAGAATTTCCAAAGACGCACTGTCAGCGGAAAAAGCTTTGATTTTTCAAAATACTACCCAGGTAATTACCAGAAGCAATTAGCAGGGCAGACCAGTAGTGCCCGTCGAGAGGTACCCCTACAGTATGGAGACGCCCAAGGTGTAGGAGCCTGCTGGAGGCATAGGTTAGGCAACTGACACGCAAGTGAGACCAAACATCCTAGAAGTTGTCTACAGCGACCTGAAAGGGGAGCACTCGGAGCTGCTGAAAGAATGCGCAGCCCCAAGAACTCAACTAATGGAACAAGGCACAAATATTGGGAAGCTTACCAGCATAATCCAAAGAAAAGAGGCCCACAGCCTAGGTTATCGCTTGTGTCCTTTCCGGGCGTGAAGGAAGAGGTGTTTGTCGAGCTCTCTGAACGGATGTGGATCCATCACCGCAGCCTTGCTCCGAGTCTATAGGTAATACTTTGTATCCGACCGTCCTTACATCAACATT